AATTTATTATAAATTACTTGTGTAAAAATAACTAAAATAAAAATTTCTATTATTTTTTCTATACCATAAAATCTTACACCATATTCACAATTAAACAACCAAATATATCTACACAAACAATATCTATTTTACAATTTTATTTAATCAATATTAAATTTTATCAATTTTCTAAAAAATAAAAGATAAATTCAAAATAATGAAAAAAAAGCTCATTTAGAGTGCATATTAGAGATGAATGACAGTGAGAATGACCTTAGCTGGCAAAATTTATAAATTACTTATGTAAAAATAAGTAAAATAAAAATTTCTATTATTTTTTCTATACCATAAAATTTTACACCATACTCATAATTAAACAACTAAATATATCTACACAAGTAACATCTATTTTACAATATTATTTAATCAATATTAAATTTTATTAATTTCCTAAAAAATACAAAAAATTCAAGAAAAATTCGCAATTAAAAAAAAAAAAAACTCATTGGGGCATAGACTGGAGATGAATGATGGTGAGGATGACCATAGATTGCAAGATCCAAGCTGAAAGTGCTAAATTTCAAGAAAAAATTGGTGAAAATGTTGAAATTAAAAAATAAATTAAAGAGTGTAATTGCACCAAACCAGAAGTCCTTCTTCAGTCCGCGCTTCCACTCCGAGATGACCTGCAAAGTCCCGAGGTGGAACTCGGGGTAGACACTCCGATGCTTAAGTCAGCAATAATCGGGGCTACCTTTAAGGCGGTTCAATTACCTTTTTAACGTGGCCCGGGAGGGTATTTATAGGATCCAATGAGGAACCCACGTGGCATGCCAAGCAAAATAATCGAAGCCTGACGTGTCCCTCCAGACGGTTATTCCAGGACCGAGAATTTGAGAGGTATCCAGATGCACGAGCATCCACCATACTTGCTGTGCCACTCATCGTAAGGGATCAGGTGCGGGCATGCTTATTGTCCTTGTCATGCAGCCATTTGAGCGGGAAGCTTTGGATTTATTCCTCACTTCGGTCATAAAGGAATTACTGTAGCAATCCGAGGCTTGGCACCTCGGACCTATCCTTACAAACAGATTGATTCTTGGCATCTAACTAGTTGGACAATTACCCTTACCTTTGTAGGCATCATGTAGATGATGGAGGAGAAAACAGGTGGACAAAATGATGAAAACTAGGAGGAAAATGAGAAGTTGAAATGGGAAACAAGTGAAGGGATGGAGGAAGAAGAAGAGTCTGAAGAATCTCTGCACACTTTTTTTTTCGGATCGTTACTAATCTAAAAAATACCTTAAATGCTAACCCAATGTCATCTTAGCCAGATGTACGTTAGGCCAGATTTTTTATACCATAATCGGTTCGGATACTGCATGTAATCTGGACCAAAATTGGTCTAGAAAATTGTTTTTTTTTTCTGGTACAATTTTTCAGACCGATTTTGGCCTACATATATCCAAAATATCCTACATTTAAATATCATTTAACTTCAAAAATTGTCTTGCAATTTTTCAGACTGGCATTGGTCCAAAATTATGAGAAAAAAAATCCTACCACTGAATATCACTTTAATTGTCTAGCAATTTATTTTTTTAAGTGACACTATTTAGATCATAGTCGATTTGAAAATTTTTGACTCGTTTTACTATGTTGACACCAAAAATTTTCAGATTGTTGACGATTTGAATATAATGTTCCCAATAAACTTACCACCCATTCTATATCAATAGATATTCAAGCTAATTACAGTTCTGAATTAATATTTTTTCAGACCAAAATTAATCAGCCTAAATTATGTCGGTCTAAATATCAATAATTTCTAGTAGTATTTGCTACTTAAATATATTTTTAGCAAAAAGCTTATGAATGATTATATCAAACATTAAATAATAAGTTATTTGTTTTAATGAATAATTTAAAAGGACAATTTATTTTTTGTATTTTTTTTAAATGTATTTGTCTCTATCCTCTTATTTTGAATGTGAATTTGAAGGTTTGACTTTCTTTTACAAAGAGAATGACTCTTATAACATGATTAGATGCAAGCTTTATATTTTAATCCACATGCTTAATTTGTATATAGATATCAAAACAAACTACTTTCTTGTCAGGCCTATTGTTACCCAACATGATAGAAATTGAAATTTATACTAGGTCAACACATGAGGGCATGTTAGTAGAGAAAATCTTTAGGTATAATATTTAAAAAATGTATTTTAAATATAAGAAAGATACTTTATCTATTGTCAATACTATTTTGTTTTTGTATACGATTGTATTGAACCTTCGAATTATACATCTGACTTCAACTTCTCGTTGAGATTCTGAGCAATATGAAGCATCACATGAAATTTGAATTCAAAAGTCAAAATCTTGAGTCCCCTGAGAAGATTCATGGCTCGTGGAAACGTTTAAAATTTGAATTTCTCCTTTTAGGATGGATCAAGTGGATGTTGATCGATCAAATCAAAAAGCTCGTCTCCTATCCCGAATCCCAGCATCCTAGCCATGTCACTTGTCTTGAGCCTCGGCTTAGGAAAATTGTGTCGCTTCAACCAAGAGTAAACAACGAAAACCTTCTTCATGATGAACAATTCGAGCGCCTCTGGATTAAAGACAACACCCATTCTCATGCTCATCTGCGCACATATAAGATATATATAACTTAGAAAAGAATTTATAGGAACAAAATTGAGTTTTATAGTCCAGATTACAAAATACAAATCATTAGATGACGAGGGTTCTTGGGTTGCAAGGATATATACTTTCATGACTGATGTTTTGTAGTTACAAACTATTATATATATGAATTCTCTCTCGTTCTTATTACTTTATATTACCTGGTGAGGGACTAACATGGCTGCATACCGAGCAAGCTCTCCGGCTCGCCAGTCCAATAAGACTGGAAGCCAGGGATATGTAACATCAAGTCTCACAAACCATAATCTTATATCCGGAAGTTCTGACAGTTCTCTCAGATCATGAGGATCTTCTCTAGTGTAATTGATTGTAAACCCAATAGTCCGTTGAAGAAATTCTTCTGGTTCAACTAAAATAACACAGATATAATAGTACAAGAAATAGTTTGTCAGAGAACTTTCTACAAACGCATAATCGGCATTCTAATGATAGAAATTTCAACCAATGCCTTACTTGATGAAGGTGAAGTGATTCCAGTGGCCTTGTGAAAGGGGGATAAATCAAGTCGGCGAATATTGTCCTTGTCAATAACTATGTCAAATCGGCCTTCCGTTGGAGGCATTGGAGGTGGAACCTTGGGAGAGTCTGTAAGTAATGTTATTTTCAAAAAAATGAAAAAAAAAAAAAAATTAACAAGAAATTTTATACAGTCATTTCAAGCAACCTGCATAAATCGTAATACAACTACAAAAATGAGTTCTTAATTCCATTTGGCACAAGAAAACTACATTAGTCTATAAAATATTTCTTCATTATTATTCTTACATATTAATTGTCAAAATGTTCTAATTTTCTGCAATATCACAACCAGAATGCTTCCTCTGTTAATTCATCAAAAGTGCTTTGATGATATCAATCACTGAATGTATTGTGTAGTCCGGCTAAAAAGCAGGAAACTCACACAATTAATTTCCTATTGCATAATGTAGTTTCTGTCAGTCAATCTATCTAAACTGAAGAAGTTCAATCTTAAAAGTGAGAACTGATTTGAGTGCTTACCATCTTCCTCTTCAAATAAGGAGAGGTCGAAATTCCCTGAAGGATTGAAAGCAACTCTGACTGCAACTTCTCGTCTTTGGTTGCAGAAGTCAGAAATGGAGAGAGTAGCCAATGAATTGGAAATGGGTTTGAAAGGAATGCTCGGAGTTGAAGAGGGAAAGTTGTGTTTCAGCGATGGAGAAATTGGAAGAAGAGGATAAATGGTGGTAGCCATGAGGCCTTAGGTTTCAAACACACATGTCCATTCGTGGGTTTGTAGCGTGCAGCATATCCGATAACTACTCCAGAGTGCAAAGCAACTGCTCTGGGCCACAAAATATCAAATATCCTGGGAGGGATTTTTTATTAATTTTTTATTTACAGTAACATCTTTAGGATCAGCTTTAGTACACTACACTTAATAAAATGTTTGTTTATTGGGGAATGGAAGGTAGGGCAGGGGAGTCTCTTTTGAGCAATCAAATCATATTATAATGTTTTTTTTTTGTTAGTTTAAGTATATCATAAAACTGCACCCACAACTGTAGTTATATTAGTAAGGTATACATTTGTCATGGACACCACCATAGTTTAATTCTTTATGGTGTCATTCTCCTTTCCTTAAATTTTTAATGTGTAAAAAATATATATATTATAAAACTATTCTTACATTCATATTATGTATTTAAAAAGATTAAGTTTTCTTAATTTGAATTTAAAAATATAATAAATATATTTTTTATTACAAATTTGTCTTAAAAATAAAAATTAATTTTTAATTTATTAATTATTTAATTAAATTATTTACTTAATAAGAACATTAAAATTAATATTA